ACATAAAAAGGGGGTTTAGTATTAATTTCTCTACCCAGCCCTCAGCTAAGACAACCCACCTTCACCACAGCTGCTAGGAGAAGAGAAAGCACAAACATTTACATAAACAACGCAACCGAAGGTTTGCTCACCACCTCGTGCAGGGCTGTGCTCTCAGACGATGATCACTCATCATAAAAATGGGTGGAGCGGCTGCAAAGCACTCAGCAATGGAAAAACTGACGGACTCACCCAGGGAAGCTCCTGCCTGGGCTGCAAATCCCGCGGAGACATGCAAAGCGCTGTCGGTGCTCCCCGTGTGGGAAGTCTTTCAGCTACGGATGCAAAAACATTTGCTACGTAGCCATGTGAACTGCAGCACTTTGCTTTCATCTCCAGGATCGATATCTGCACCGACTCGAGGAGTTCAGATCGCGCTACGGGCACTGTTTACATCCAGGTCACCCAAAGTCATTCATCGGTGGTTTGTGTTTAGAGCAAAGCACAACACTCCTCGAGTGCCAAATGTGGAGTTTCAGATGTGCAGATTTATGGCATGGAACAAAATGAGACTCATCACACACAGCTTCAGTTGAATGGCCTAAGCCTGACTCACCGAGCAATTCCACCCGAGGAAGGAGAGCTCTGGTTTTGCTATGATTTCACTGGGGGGCCAGCAGCTAGAAAGCATGCTGTGCTGTGCACGACCCATCCCTTACTGTGTATAACCACCAAACAGTGCCATCCTGCATCCCTTCCCCCAAAAAGCTCACTTCCCCCTTCCTTTAACACCTGCTTCCTCCATTCTAGCATCCATTGTCCAAACACTATTATGGGACCGAAAGCTCCAGCATCCCAAAGGAAGCTCAGGAGGAAAATGACTCTATAAAACAAGCGGTTTCCATACGAGACTTTCTCATTCATTGCAGCAAACCCAAACCTTACCACTCCTCATTTTCTCTTCCTTACTAAAGCCCATGCTGGATGCTCACAGCCCCTTTGCTGCCAGCAGGAAGAGCTGCAAGAGCCAGCATCTGCGTGATGCACAACAGGTGTGTTAGCTCCTGAAAAAAGCAGGAGTGAGTCAGTGTAAGAGTCTGAAGGCAGACCTTCGTGCCAAAGCACTTGTTTGCAATGGTTTTATTAGCTTTTGCACTCAGACTTACACAGCAGCTACACCACTGCGGGCAGAGACACATTGGGAAAGAGATTTACTTTCCCAAGTAACTTTGCCAGGAACTTCAGATACAATTCAAATGAAGCTACAGAGCCTGTCACAGGTCTTAACATAACTTACTGCTCCAATCTGAATTAGCCACAGGTGATAAAAAGCTCAGAGACACAGCTGGGATTGAAACACAGCATGTCAGGTAGGCTCTCAGCACAGGGTCCTGAGCATCGTCGTCAAATGCCACATATCCTGCTCTTCTCCAGGATAATCACTGTACATCATACACATCAAGAAGTCTCACTAGCATTCATCACCTTCATTTAAATGAATTCATCACCCATTTTATTTCCCCTCCCACCAAAATACCTGAAGTCACAGCTACAGGAGGAAACAGGATCAGTTGCAAGGGCTGTGATCGGACATCTTAAACAGCACCACCGAGGAGCAGCTATGTAGCATGCCATACTTTTAGGGGTATTTTCTTCTTAGACTTCCTCCAACCCAGTATCTGAGAGGTCTCAAACTGGTGCAGCTCTGCACTTGGGCTGTGGAAAGCACAAGGTCATTCCAGAAAGGATTTCAGCTTTTTCTCACCCACTACAAAAATCACACGAGAAATTTTCCAGCTTCTGATTTTCAGGTTTCTCCTTTAACATACGTACAAAAATCCTGTTAGAGCACATGACAACATAACACAGGTCAAGTACAGCTCCAACAGAATTAAAGTTTATTTTCAGCAAGTTATCACACTGCATTCTTTTTTAGGACTGTTGACTACTTAAAAGTATTTGCGATTACACCCCTTTGCTCAACAATGTGAGTGTACCTAAAATGGCTATTAAAAAAAAAAATAAAGAATATAAATGTCAGGGTTTACTTTTGCAGAGGACATCGATCCTCACTGTGCACAGAAGTCAACTGCAGACTTGAGGAATTTTAAAAGGGAACAACTGAACTCCTAACTCACAGGCTTATCTCAGTAACATCTCTCATCGTCATCATCAGCCATGCTGTAAAACAGGGACAGGCACTGCAGCCAGACACCTTCCGCACCAACAAAAAGCACCAGAGGCATTCACTGACAAGTCACCTCGCTTGTGTGACAAAGGGAACGGAACAGAAATACATGGATGCACGTTTTTTTAGGGAGAGCTGTACAGCCTGACTGCAGCACCAAGTTCCCAGCATAGCAGCTTATCCCGGAGTGCTGCCAACATATTTCCTTATCACTAACCAAGGGAACTAAGCAGCCAGCTCTGAGGGTTGTGCTCTGCCTCTTCATCTGCATAAAGGTCATTTGCAAGGGAGAAAGGCAGGTTTAAAAAAAGTAAGAAAGAAAGAAAGAGGATAGCATGCCACATCCATGGCTTTGTTTTCCATACAAACAGTAAGGCTGGAAAAGATCACGAAGACCACACAGACCATCAGCCCATCATCACCATGTACACTAAGAGCGGTGCTGTCAGGTTGTGGCACCACAATTTCAGTGTCTGAACATTCAGTGAGAGCAAGGAGGGGCCTTTCACCCCCAGTTCCTAACTCCTTCACCCTCCTTCCCCACTACAGCAACACTGAACCCATGTAGGCACTTTATACTTATCTGCTGCACGGTTTAATTTACTCCAGACTATTTATTGCCCGTGTGGGGGGAACCCCTATAGAAACAGCATTAATAGCACTCATGGAGATGGCAGAGATAACCAGCTACAGCACTGCTTCTAGGATTGTTTGATAGGCAAGTGGAACACCACCGAACACCGGGCAGGAAAACTGATAGCTGCTGTCCTGGATTCAGAGTGGAAAAGAAATAGGTGCAGCAGGCACAGTGACTTACATTGCCTTTTGTTAAACAGATCTGTTTAAAGCTATGCCAGCAGAGAAGTACAAAACAGCAGCCCCTGCCCTTGTAACCAGCAGAGCACACCCCACAATAAGCCTACTGGCTTATTTTTCCCCTCTGGTATAATTTATTGCCCGCTGCCCTACCTCAGGCTTTGGATAGCATAACCAGATTCCTTCAGCTGCACTTAATCCTTCTCTTAGCACAGGGGCATACCCTGGACCAGAACACAGCTTAGTAAGGAGCAGATCCTGCTGGGAGATTAGCGGTGAGTTCTGCGTAACCCTGGGTCTCCCAGTTCCACCACACCATGATTCAAAGCCTCCACTTACCTGGCAGGACTCCGTACATTAGAAGTACTTGTGCCGTGCTCTGTTGTCTGAACACATCTCACCCTTATTGCTTGGGCCATGCCAAGCATCCCTTGGCCACCAGAGCAAGCCACAGGCTGGGACACCAGGCCATGGCACAGTGTGTCCCCACAGAGCCCTGTCATCGAGCTGCCTACAGAACCTGTCTGCCCTGCAGAACCCCTCAGCCGAGCCCTGCCAGCAGCAGCCCCAGGGCAGACCAGCACTGAGAGGACAGGCAGTGCTACACTCATGCCATACATGCACAAGACGTGTACAGGTCTGAACTCATGCCAGATATCATCACCTTGCTTAACGCGCCCATACTCTGCTATGAGGCCTGGGGAAAAAAAGAGAAGGAAAAAAAAAAGCAAGAAAGCAAGATAATGTCCTTTGGCCCCTTAAAACCAAACTGGGATTGCATGAGCCAGAACTGGCAGCACAAGAGCAGAGCTCAGAGCAACTGTCTGAGTGCTGCTCGGGAGCTCTACGTGCCTGACATAGTTCTCCCGCATCACATATCTCCATGAACACCTCAAGGCTGATGGCTGCCCGGGACCACAGGGAGCAGCACGGCTCCCAGCTGTCTGCTGCCAGCACAGCACCCCAATCCCTTGAGCAACCACAACCACCACAGCGTGCCCTTCCAAACTTCACAAATCACATTTCCTACGCCCGAGCTCCAAGGATAGCAAAGCTCACCGGGCAGAGCCCCTTCAGAGCTCAGCAACGTTGCTCCCACCAACCCCAGCTCCTTTCCGTGACTTCCATAGCACAGACACAGGCAGCAGATTAATAGTTAATAATTAATAAACTCTGATGATTTTCAGGTTAAGAAGCGTCCAAACTTTTCCAATCCTCGGCCAGAAATTCCCACATTCACTTCCAAAGCGGTATAAATTCATTTGAGAGGAACATCAGCGAGCAGCAGCGCGAAGGCACAAACCAGGCCCGGTGGCAATGACCCTTCGAACAACTTCAGAGCACCAAAACACTTCAGCCCCAAAGGTAGGAAAAACCAACAGCGAGCGTCGCTCGGGAGACCCCGGCACGAAGCTGAGCCTTCGGTAGCGATAAACTCGACTACAAATAAACGAGGAAACAAACAAATGCGAATACAAAGTTGCGTCAGCGCAGCTCGAGGGTTCCCCCCGCCCGCCCCTACATCAGCATATCAATGGTTTGAATAGAGGGGAAGCGGAGGGAGGCTGGGGGCCAGCCCGGGGCTCCAGGAACGCCGTGCGTATCCGTGTGTATGGACGCACGGACGTGTGCACGGTGCCGATGTCCCGGGCCGGGCTCGCCCCGTCCGTACCCCCGGAGCTCGGGGCCGCGCGGTACCGCCGCGGGAAGAACCGCAGACAATAGCGGCGGAGAGAGCAGCGCCGCGCGAGGAAATCGACCCAAACTCAGGCAAGAAAAAGCAAAGAACGAGGAAGAAATGAAAGGAAGCAGAGGGAAGCGAAGTTGCGAGGAGAAAAGCTCTAATGAAGATGAGGAAGAAGGGTGGAAGCCTCGCGGAGGGGCAGGGGGTTCCTCCGCAGCCCCCTTCCGCCGGAGATACCCCGGGAAGCTCCCCCCCCCCTTCCCCTTCAGCCGCCCCCCAAAACTTTCCCCCCACAGCGGCCCTTCGCTAAACTCCGACGGGACGAGCACTCACCGCGGGGCCCGGCGGGCGGCTTCGCCCCTGGAACGGGGCCGGGAGGGAAGGGAGAGGGAAGGGGACGAGGGGAGGGGGGGGGGAAAGAGGCGGCCGGGCCGGGTGCTCTCCGCCCGGGGAGGCGGGCAGGAAGGAGGGCCGGGGGCTGCGGCTGCAACCTGAGTACCGCCGCCGCGCCCGCCGCCAGCCCGCATGCGCCGGACCCGGAGCCGCCGCGGAGCGGGGCCGCCCCTGAGCAGCGGGCGGAGAGCGGGGGGCCGGGGCCGGGGCCGAGCGGAGAGGCGGCAGCTGTGAGTGGGCTGCGGTTCTCGCTCTCAAGTTTGTGGAGCTGCTCGGTTGGTCCTCTTCTTCGGAGGCACGCTGGGAGAGAGGGGTTTCGGCACCTGGGGAACACCTGGCGGCTGTGCTGCTCGGTTGGCCCGAGGCGGTGCGCTCAGCTGCTCTGCGGGATTGGTGGTAGCGTTGTGCTTCTGGGGGCGAAGGGACGCGAGCAGCTTTGGATGCAGCGGGTTGTTTTTGTTTTAAGGGGTACTTGCTCCCCACGCGCCAAACTTCAGCCTCACGGCCTGTTTTGCTCGGAGGTGCATTGCTTGCATTCCCACCTCCAGCTCTTGTAAAGCTCTCCCAGCACACACTGCCCAGCCGAAATCACACTCAGCTGCACCCAAACACTGCCCTCCTGTCCCTGGCACAAAACCAAGCAGCCCCAACGCCCTGTACTGCCCCTCACTGTATTTCCTCAGGCCGCGTTGCTCCTCTGCCACTGCACAGCCTGTGGAAGTTTGATCGAGGAACATCTCTGTAATTATTTCCACACCTTGCCCTGGAAAATGGTGGAAATGGCAATGCTGCTGTTAGCAAATACAGAATCATAGAATCGTTTGAGTGGGAAGAGACCCTTCAAGGCCACCTGGTCCAACTCTTCTGCACTGATCAGGGACACCTACAGTTGATCAGGTGCTCAGAGCCCCGTCCAGCCTGACCTGCAGTGTCTGCAGGGATGGGGCACTCACCTCTCTGGGCAATCTCTTCATGTGGCTGGGCTGGAGGAGTCTGCTGGAAAGAAGAGGCATGATGTGCTGCAGTAGGGGATCTGCCCTCTATCACCATTTCTATTGGAAGCTCTTAGAGGACGTGATTTTTCCTATCAGAAATATTCCTGCAAGTGAGCTTCTCCAAAGAACCAGTTGTTAGCCATGACCTAAGTGAGGAATTACCACAGGCTGCAGGATGGGACTAAGCTCCCCAGGCTGCTCTAGGCAGGCCAGAGCTCCCCATCCCTATGTGGGAGTCTCATACATCCCCTGCCCGGGACCAACATGGGGAAAAGCTCAGCCAGCCACTGCATCAGATGCCCGGCCGTGCTCTCATCAATGCCCTGCCTTCACCAGGATGTGGTCAGTGCTCCACTTCCATCTTCAAATCATTAATTCTGTCTTTAAACTGTTGTCCAGACCCAAATCCTTTATCTTATATATTCTTCTTGGACCCACACAAAACCACAACCTGAGATGAAGGGGTGTTTGTGTAGCAGTGGTGTGGACGCCAGCCTTCTGGCAGATCATTTGCGGGCAAATTGCCTTTGACACTGGTTCCTCCAGCTTTCACCATAAGTCTAAGTCTGCTTTTCAAATGCTAGCAAGAAATTGGAAAACTACAAAGATCAATTTGTCTTTCGTTCTTCTTTTTTAATTTGTCATAAACTGCTGCAGGGCTTCCTACTTCTTGCTAGGGAATGAGTTTTAAGTGTGAGCTGCACTCGTGAATGAGAATGGAATTTGGATCTGCACAACATAATCTGAACATTTGTGTGTAGTGGCATGAATTAGCAATATGAGCACATTGTTTCCATTTGCTGGAAATTAGCTGTCCTTGCAACTGAATAGAAAACAGAGTTCAATGTAACGATGGAAGCAGCAGCTATTAAAGATTTGTTTTCATCATGTTTAAGCAGCTACAAACTGAGATACACAGAGAGGGTGAGTGTGTGACAACAGTGTGCTGGGCTTTGTTCCAGTGCTTAGAAAATGAGGCACTGAGATAGCAGCAGCCACACCTGGAGAAGTTGACCAACATTTTACTTCTTCACACTCTGCCAATGGCATCCATAAAGCCCCATGAGCTGCACAATCTGCTGCAAAATTACTGCCTGTGACTGATGGCAGCCTTCTGCTGAAGTTTCTCCATAAGAATAGATCTCGGTCAACACACAAAATCCTCAGTAAGGCACAGCAGGCAGACTCTGGAATTTGCCCTTAGGACAGCAGATAGCCTGGAGTGACTACAGTAAAAACACCCAAAGCAAAATGCAAACATTGTTGACCTGCAGTATATTATTCATGAAATGTCTGTAATACCCATGGCTCTCCTGTGGGAAGTGGAGCTCTGCACCTCGCTGTCCCCTGATGCAGACCTCAGCTGCTCATCACTGCCCCATCTGCCCCTCCACCTGCTGATGGGCTGAGCTAACACCCAGCTCTTACATATGTTGCCGGAAGCCCTGATGTAAACACTGCCTTTTTTCTCCTGGTCAGAAATGTGCACCTGCCTGTGTTTGTGGCAGGAACTGACACTGCGTGTCCCAGCAAGGCTCGAGCCATGCCACAGCCCATGGGATAGGTGTGGGATGCAGCAGGAGAGCAGGGAGGAGAGGAGACCTGCAGACAGTAAACTGTTACCACTGAGCCTCGAGGAAGGTTTTTTTTTGGCACTTCAGCTTTACTCTTTGTGCTTTTTCAGAGGACACCGTTAGAGGCGCCTGCTCTGGGCACTTTGTTCTTTTCAGGATGCATTTTAATTTAATACAATTCTATTTCTGTCCCTAGCGATGGTTGTTGTCCAGTTACTTGCAAAGCAAGAGACAGACCAGTCTATGCCAAAAGCCTTTATTGAAGGATCAGAAAACATCAATCAAATCAATTTACAAAACTGAATTATGTGGGACCCCAGGAGTAAAAAATGACAAACACAGAGACTTAAATTGATAGCAGACCAGGATAAAAGCTTTTAGTCAATGCAGGCCATAAAATTAATCAAATGCAGTATACTCCCTAAAAATCAGAGCAGTTTCCCCATCCCCTGCACTCTGCTCAATTTCAGATCTAAATAACATGCAAAGTAGATTAAAATTAATCAATACAGCAGATCCCACAGTAAAGCAAGTAATCAAGAAAGCAACACATGCATTTGCAACCCATTATTTATTACCATCCCCACGTGTGGCCAGGATGTGAACGCAAATGGCATCCCTGGCTTCTCTTGAACCACCACCAAAGCTGATGGGTCTATTTGCTTTTCGTACAAGCCAGTAAAAGAAACCCTCAAAGTTTAGGGCATTTGGAGACATTTGTTTGAACCTTGTAAAGATTATAAAGGCAAAAATTGTATCTATAACATGGATGTGGAATGGTATCTTCTCTGTCTAAGACCTGAGTGCTCTTTCTCTTGCTCCCAGTGCTCAGATTATCTCTCTTTATCTCTGTGGGTTGGATAAGATTTCCCAAATCACAGAGGGAGAGAGAGAGTTCTCCAGCTGTTGGGAACCAATACCATGTTGGTGGTGGCAAACATTTCCAGCTTATCTGAACATGTGAACGCATCCCACCTTTATATCCTTGCATTAAGTACTAAATCAAACTTCTCGTACTGATTTTCATGAAGTTGCGATTGTTGAATGAAGAAGAAGTACAAAAAGAGATTCCTTCCTCAGCAGGCAAACGGGGAGCAGATTTCCTTCCTCTAAGGGAGATCCCTTTCCTTGGATCTCTGTTTCATCAGAGGAACATCAGCCAGAGAACCCAAATCTCTGAACATAGAATCGTAGAATCATTATGGTGGTAAAGGCCACTAAGATCACCTAGTCCAACCATCAACCCAACCCCACCTTGCCCATCAGCCATGTCTCTCAGAGCCACATCCACCCTTTTCTTTAAAAACCTCCAGGGATGGTGACTCCACCACCTCCCTGGGCAGCCTATTTTTATACACCACCAGGCACCATCAACTTCAGGCATATTCACAAAACCCATGAACCTGAACTGCTTAAAACACTGCCCCGCGAATCTCCATCATGAGCCACCCACCAGCTGTTTTGCCAACAGCAGTGCATTACAACACGTACCTGTGGCAGTTTGTGGTAGTTGGCTTCATGCACTAAGAACAAAGTAGACTCTCTTCAATGAAATTCCCAGTGCAGGGGAACCAGGAAATTCCCCTCCCCATAGCACGAAGCCCCTTTTGCTTGCACACCAGCTCTGTGCCCACTGCCAGCCAGCCCAGCTCTGCAAGATGACGTACACCCACCAGATGGTCCCAGCACTTCTGCACCACCAATGCTGATGTGCACAGCAATCAGCAAAAATCCACTGTGCTTTTCCTTGACTAAACACGCTTCCAAATCACAAAGAAATACAAAAGGCCATTGAACATCTCTCTGCTCAGCAGCACAAACAGTTGGTCTGTCGTCAAGCGCAGATCTCTTGTGGCAGCGGGTCAAAATAACTTCAGTTATCAAGAGGGGAAAACAAAGCTGCTTCACCATGCCGTGTAAATGAATGTTTAAATAGAGCCTAGAAAATCAGAGGTGCATTGCCACAAATCCTAATGGCAGGAGAGACAGTGGGGGTTTGGGCACTCACTGGGTGCACTCCTGTAACACTAGACTGCTTCTCAAGCACTTCTCAGCAGCCTGAAGAAGCCCATTACATTGGTAGTGTCAAGAATGGGGTATGGCATCTCTGGCATCTCCGGCTGGGCAAGTTGTGTTTTGTAATACACACTGATGTGCTTTTGTATGGAAGGGATCTATTTCACACTAAGCAGCCGTCACACGGTATTTTTGATCACCACCTGTAAGCAAATCCAAGCAAAGCTCATTCCAAGGTCAGCTGGGTATTTCTGAAGACTTATCTCCAGCCTTGCAGGCTGCAGAGTGGGCCACAGCATCAGCCATTGAAACCTCTGGTAGATCAAACAGAGACAGAGCTGAGCCATGCTGGCAAGAAATAGATTAGGATCAAACAGCCCCCACTGTCCCTGCACTGACAGGTGTCCTGGATGGCATTACAGTCTGCAGATTTCT